CGCCATTTCACCCATAAAATTTTAAGTTCACTTGGTGTAATTCAAGATTATTTTCTTTAAATCAACACTGCACTGCACTATATATTGTCAATATGTAAAATAAATTTCAGAATGCTCAATAATTGTACTGTAAAAACGTAAAAATAGTTTATGTTCAAGAGAGTCTCAAGCAAGATGCTACCTCCACTGAGCAGAGACACAAACTGAACTCTTTCTGGGTGAGTCAAGTGGCTGTTTGACGCGCTAAAAACAAGTTCCCTGTACTTCATTTATGTTAAATAATTGTTAAAATGACTAAAAAATTTAATATAAGACTTGGAAAATTATTGAATAGTACAACCTTCTTGATATTTACTGAAATGGTAACGAATTTAAGCCCTAAAACCGATTACTGTATTGGCGGACTAATACTCCAACTGGTGAGCAGGCGAAAACATGTTGACACGATTTCGTAAGGATTTCGTTAACCGAATTTTTGTTCGTTAATTGAGTTTAAGATTCTTATGGAAGGTTAACCGAAATTTTGTGAACCGAGGCGTTCGTTAACCGAGGGATCACTGTATTTGTCCTAGCTATTGGAGTACGAGCTGTCTTAGGAGCAATTTTATTTGCGTACTCTATGATCAAATCAGTTGGTGTATACTCATTATCCTGTGCACGACAATATGTAGAGTCACGAACTGTCACAAGAAAACTAATTAGTTCAATCAACTTTGCAACCTTTTGTTTTGACATTTTGTCATCATCGTCAAACCAGGGCGAACCACCAAAATTAGCAAGAATGTCCTGACAGACATCACCAGCAATGGCAACACTCTTCATCGGACCTTCTGTGTGAACCACACGTGTCATACGGTCAATCCACCTAAACAACCAATGTAAATGTCCTTGCTGTGTTGCAGACTAAAAAATACTAATTAGAGTCTTTTTTAAATATTCATATCTCGGGTCAGCAAGACAACTGGCGTCCAAATGTTCACTTGCAAAACTACCTTGTTTGATATGAGAGCGAACAAAAGCTTTCTTCTCATCATCCCCTCTTAACTGAACATTTTTCATAGTATCCTCACATGCTCTTATAAATGTAGTCACCCAGTATCCATCTTCCGCTGTAAAATCGCAAACTTGGTCGCCACGCTGTAACACCTGAATAACGTTAGAGGGGTTAGTTGACATGCCAGTGTTAGAAGTAACCATGCTATACAACTTAATCCTGACTGAAGGATCAGTTAATGGAGAAGGTAATAAATTTTTTTTTGACACACTGACTTTCTGTGTACTGTACGAGAAAGGGGAACCTGCCCGTACTCGGGATGTATTGTACGTATTACCTGACCTTAGGGTTCTATGGTTTAAATTGTCAACTGATTAATCTATTAAGTCTTCATTACTCCTGACAGAAGTGTCAAGCTTGAAGTGTGTATGTGTTTCTTGCAAATCTAGTGAATCTATTTGTACAGTAGTGACATTAATTCCAGTGGTGGGCACAGCTAAACGAAAAGTTGAGACTCGTGACTTTTGACTTCTTTTATGGATTTTCATTTTTTTCTTTTTTTTTCAAGTAAAACTAGAGCTCTAAGATGCAAGCAAGAGCACTACAACAAAACAGCTCTCTATGGGGTAGTGCTAATTGGGGATATTGCTATACAGTCGGCCCTTAACATACGCGGGTGTTACGTAACAGAGATACCCGTGGATGTTAAAAATCCTCGTATATGTGCTGCCCCCAAAACCTGGTCCCCCATGTCCGTATTTACCGTATATACCTGTGTGTCGTTCAAGTTTTTAAGACCAAATTATTTGGCAAAAAATTGGGGGTTGACCTCTAAACGGGTAATAGTTTCGTTAGGTTGAAAAATATTTACCAGTAACTACCAGTAAACAATGGAAACGATGCACCAACGCACCACCAGCTGTGAGTGTCGGTACAGTTGCCAGGGCAGACCTCTTGCGTCATCATAGCAAGCCCAAAGTAGCCAAATCCATGGTATGGTAGCACAGGACGATGTAAAAGAAAGTATTCATTTATTAAAGTTTATTTATAGATACTGTACATAAATTTTTGTTCATTACATTTGAAACATCAATCTTTGTTAATTAAATTTGAAACAAAAGAAAACTACGATACCGTATTTTCATTAAAATATTACATCACATGTATATTTTACCTGAACTGTGACTGAATGAATATAGGTATTCTCAGAAATAAATATGGAAATATAATATTTTTGCTGGAATGACGTACATATTACAGTGGAAAGACGAAAACAATGACTTTCGCTTTCTTTCGTTATTCAAAAGATTTTACCGTAATCGCTTTTCGAATGGTTTTCAGTTAAAAAATTGTTGTACTCGTACTGTATTGCAATAATATTCTATCCTATCATTAGCCTTATAATCCCACAACTGAAAACCATTCGAAAAGCGATTACGGTAACATCTTTTGAACGAAAGAAAGAGAAAGTCATTGCTTTCGTCACAATTTTATCCCACTTTCCACTGTAATACGTACATCATTTCAGCAAAAATATTACATTTCCATGTTCTCAGAAATAAATGGTAGTTTTGTTGAAACGTAATGTACAATATTTAATATTAAAATGCAAAAATAGCTATAAAATAATTAATACACCCGTAATGTACTGGCTGGCTTCTCCAATTGTCCCTGCTCCCGCGTCCAAGGTCACCACTCCTCCCAACTCGCTCCCTCCGCTACCTCCTCCACCTCCTCCCACCCCCTCTTCCTCCTCCCCGTCACTACTGCCGACAACGAACACAAATGTTTTGTGAATAACTGCACCTCCAATTCCTATGTACAGTACTGAACTGTACTGTGCTGTGCATTTTTACAAACAATAAACATGGCAAGAAAAGCTATTAAAAAAAAAGAGATAAAAATTTCACTTTACTGTACAGTGCCTATCCTCGGCGACAGGACGGGGGTCATCGGGCTCATCGTCACTCAATTCTATAACGGGTGGTGAAGTGGGGGCGACGGTGGATTCAGCTGCTTCCTCACTGCCGCCAGTGATTGATGGTGTTAAATCTCTCCTTCGGTGATCAAAGAACATGGTGATGGGGAGTTGTCGTCTCTTTCTTTCATTTCTTCCATGATGTTTTTGTATGGAGCGAAAACGCCATCCATCCCTCACATGAATTTGAGGGCACGCACCATGGAGGGGTCCATACTGTAGGCCAGGTTTTTCAGTGCCTCAATATTCCTGGTCATCTCCCCCAACTTCTTCAACGTTATTTCTTGGTGCTCTTCCTCATCCTCTTTCCCTTTCGCTTCCTCTTCCTTGCCTGAGTCTACTAATTCCTGTAGATCCTCCTTGGTCAGCTCATTGTCGTGCTCTTCAATTTGCTCCCTAATCTCGTCCTCTGCCATGTCCCGGAAGCCTTCAGCAGCCACTTTCCTTGACAGTGCCAGGGTCTTTCTGAATATTTTCATTGAAATCCATCAAAATCATTTTCCTTGTCATCGTCTTAAGCACCAAACAGCTCCTCCCAGTCTTCTCCTTGAACAGGGCTAGAGGGTACGTGTTTTTCGAATCGTTTTCAATTAAAAAAATGTTACAGCACATGTATATTTTACCTAAACTGTGCCTGAATGAATTTATTCTCAGAAATATAGAGTAGTTTTGCTGAAACGTGATGTATTTCAATGTAAAATAGGATACAATACATGACGAAAACAAAAGACTTTACCTAACCTTCCAATGTTCAAGAGATGTTACTCGTTTTTTTAATAGTTTTTGGTTAAAATACTGTTATATTACAATGATATTATATTCATACTGTGCTTAATATACTACATTCACGGAAATGTAATATTTTTGCTGAAATGACGTACGTATTACAGTGGAATGTGACGAAAACAATGACTTTCTCTTTCTTTCGTTCAAAAGATGTTACCGTAATCGCTTTTCGAATGGTTTTCAGTTAAAAAACTGTTGCATCACAAGTGAATTAGGATAGAATATTATTGTAATACAACAGTTTTTTAACTGAAAACCATTCGAAAAGCGATTACAGTAACATCTTTTGAACGAAAGAAAGCGAGTCATTGCTTTCGTCACTTTCTACTGTAATACGTACGTCATTTCAGCAAAATATTACATTTCCATATTCTCAGAAATAAATAGTAGTTTTGCTGAAACGTAATGCATTTCAATGTAAATTAGGTTAAACTACATGAAAACAAAAGAATTTACCTAACCTTCCGATATTCAAGATATGTTACTCGTTTTTTTAGTAGTTTTCTGTTAAAATACTCTTATATTAGTGATATTCTATTCATACTGTGCTTGATATAATACATTCACGGAAATGTAATATTTTTGCAACTACAATGCTGATGTCAACACAAGCGTGGTTACAGCGAGACTGACTGAGTGAGGGAGAGCTATGCGTGTGTGTGTGTGTGTGTGTGAGGTTGCGGGAGCGGGCGGTGTCCCATGTTTGGTGCCGTGCGCGAGTTGAATGACGCGCGATTTGAATGTACTTCAATTACTTCAATGTACAGAATATTTCTCCGGCGGGGCAATCCGCGTATTTGCAAATCCGTGTATTATAAACCTGCGTATGTTAAGGGCAGACTGTACAGTATATCTAATGGGGATTCGTGCCTGTTGGACCCTCTGTTCTTTCCTATGTTATTAAATATCTTTGATCAGCACATTTTCATGATAAAAATTGAGATGAAACTAAGGTTGCCTCTATCCTAATGTCATGTAAAGGTGGAACAAAACTGTTGCTTAAACACATAGAAAGGAAGGGAACAGGCTATATTTTTTTTTATGAATAATTGTTTAGTTTACAGTTTTGAGCTTAAAACTTATTTGTAAATTTATGCCAGTCAAACTTCCTTACATGACAATTTTTTTCAATAATCAGTAGCTACATCAGATGAATTTGAGAGTGGATTAAACTTTTAGCAAAGCATATTTATTACAACACAACATACTTTGTGTCAATTGTGTATTTTCTGATTTTAACAGGGTTATGCAAATTATGTGTTGCCTCATGATGCCTGCAATACTACACATCCACCACCCAAGTTCAAGAATTATACTGGACCATGGATTGGAATTGTGAAGAGGTGCAACTGCTCTTTTGTTGACAAAGTGCTCAACGCACAGCGTAGTGGTTATGATGCTGTTATAGTTCACAACGTTGGATCAAATTTCTTACGTAAGTAATGAATAATGAAAAAAAAACCTTAAAGAATGTTTTACATTGTTTAGTAGAGTAAATTGACCAAATTTTTTTCAGGTCTTGAGGCACATGCTGGATTTTTTCTTTTGTGAAATCTATATTTCTTTTGTAGCCAAAGAATTCTATAGTCAGACATTTATTTTTTAACCATCTCTTAATTTATTATATTTCAGAATTATGAAGAAATATAAGGAATTTATTTCATACAAGATATTCTCATTTCAGCATGCCTAAGCCTATGCATTTTATCCTCTTTAACTGACATGTTTCACTACCAACAGAATGACACTTCTCATGCCGGTTGTTTACAGTACATCTTTTCTTTCATCCTAAAGAACTGAACTTCTTCCACTCACTTCTGACTCCTGTAACTGAGCTAGGTTCATCTCCATCACCACTGATCATGGCACCCAGGTAGCAGAACTAATTGGCACAGTTAATCCAGCTTTGCCACATGACTTCCTGTTCACGCAGCCCATGTAGAGTTAGCAACATCCTGCAGTCTGTCATTTACACAACTGCATCTCGTGTACCATTAGTTGCTGTACCAACTAATTTGTCCATATTTAACAAGATAGAGCTAATTTGCCCCAGAAGTGTGCTTAGTAAGTCACTCCCTTTTGTTTGCTCTCCTTCAGTGAACTGTGACCAACAATTACTTCATTAAGAGTATTGTACTTGTTAAGTCATATGTTACACCACATACTGCATGAACACTAAGAGCTGAGCTATTGATGTCCATTAGCTTTTTATTTTAGCTACTCTAACACATCACTTGATAAATCACTAACTCTACATCGCACTGTCATGTGATTCAAACTGATAGTTTTCAAATTTCTTCACTGCATCTGGCCATAGTTCTTGAGCACTGACACAGTCAACCTAAAATTACGATAAATTTACATTTATCAAAATAAGTATGGAATAAGCTTTGTAATTTAGTTTGTTAACTGAATACAGCCAGTGATGGTTTTCAAGTGTTTAGTTACAGTTTTTGTTACGTTTCATATTTTATTTATTAATTTTTTTTAATAAGAAACTAAGAGCAGCAATAGTGTTACTTGAGGGCTGCATGTGGCCTGGGCACTGCAGGTTGTGCATCACTGCTCTAAGGTAATGTAATTATGTCATTAGTGAGTACAGTGATATCTCATTTAGCTGGAACAATTGGTGCAGAGCGCTTTTGGGAATGAGAGATTTCCGAGTAATGAGACGACTCTCTCAAAGCTGGAGAAAATAAAAATCCCTCATCCCTGGAATTTTCCAGGTAACAGAAAAATTTTCTCGGAACTTTCAGAAATTGCCCATTACATCATCTCTCGAACCCGGTAAAATATCCCCCATCCCCGGAATTTCCGGAAAATGCACCCGTTTTTATTCTCTCAAATCCGGAAAAAACTCTCCTGTCCCTGGAATTTTCCGAGTATCGTGAAAATTTTTCTGAAAATGTGCCCCTCAGAAAATCCTTCCCAAAGCTGGAATTTTGTTAAAATTATGGCTTTGGGAATGATTTCTGAGAAAATTTCAATTCCGGCTATAGGAAAGTTTCGGGTTTGAGGGATTCTATAAAGGATATGTGAAATAATTTATGTCAAAATGTTACAAAATGCTTTTTGGAAAGGCTAAAATGCATTGGCTTCCAGGGATGGACTTTATTGATAGAGGTTTACTCTCTGATTTCCTTGAATAGACCCCCTTTTGACAGTTGCCTTGACTGGGTGGTAGCTGTGGCGCCGCTTGCGAGTCCCAATGATCCAGTGAGCAGTACCAGCCCCCATCCTTCTTTGGAGAGAGGGGGAAGGATTTCCCAAATTGAGTAGGTCACCGGGGAGGGTCCAAACAAAATGGCTCCTATCCTGCTGCCGATTTTGAGAGCAGACCGGCAAAATCGTCCCACAGCCCAGACCACCGGGGCTGGAATACTCTCCCACGTGTTTGCCGTTTGTGGTGTTCCATAATGCTGGGAGACGGGAGTCATAGAAGTTGAGCAACGCCACACGCTGCGGCTAGCAACACACCTCCTTGGTCCCCTATTCCAGCTAGACAGGCGGTTTGGTTGGGCCCTAACATGTTAATTGGCTGGTCACAGTGTAGCTAAGTGGGCATCAGGGGACCTGGCACTCCTATGGTCCAGGAGCTGCCATCTTGGCCACCTCGTGGTTAGCCAAGTACACCCCCCACTATGGCTGGGGTCACCAGGGTCTTACCTTTGGCGTTGACTTCCCCTTGTTGGGCTCTGTGGTCGGTAGGGGTTGGAGGAATGAAGTAATTTAGGTTTTTTCTATGCAATAAACAAACCCTTGGACCTTCCTCTGGATCATCATTTGCTACATTGTGGCCCTTTCAGATTTAGAAAAGTGGCTCTGTGTTATGACAAATACCCAAGTATAAGAGCTGTAGGAGGCCCACTGGCCCTCGCACCCTCCGTGAAGCTTCTACCCATGAGTTCTTACCAGGCGTGTTCAAGCAGGTAAATTTTACAAAATATCTAGTGCTCCGTACGGTAGAAGGCAAGCCTGAAATGGGCCTGAACATTTTCGATGTTCACAGGTCGATAGTAACAATTTGTGGTAGAGAACCAAAGATATACACCCAGCAAGATGGTAGCCTCCTAGTGGAGGTCTCCTTCCCCAAGGAGAGGGCTCGACTCTGTACCCTGCCTGAGATACCTGGTGCCCCAGTCTCCTGTACTCCGCATTTCACCTTTAACCAGTGTCATGGGGTGGTATTTAGGGATCCCATCATTCCCGGGGAACTCAGTTCTGGGAAATGTTTCAATACTCCTGGGAGTATCCCGGTGCAAAGGAGGTAAATGAGATGCAATGCTGTGATCCCTGGAATTTCCCAGGATTCCCTGATGTTCTGGGATCATGTGAAATTCCCAGGATCCTGTGAATTTCCCAGGATCCTATTGTTCAGAGGAATATTCAGTAGTTCCCAAGATATGTATCACTACTCCCCTGAATATCCTGAAAATACTGTATTATTATTATTATGATTAATGTATAAACATTCCAACGTGTAACTTATAGTTCTACAATCTAAATGTTTTAATCAAATGTAATTACACATGCTGTCAAGAAATTTAATTATAAATATAAACAAGTTCATACATTAATACAAAACCTTCCATTACCCACAGCAAAATATCCAAATTACTCAGTTGTTCAGTCGTATTTGAGATCACCATATATATTGTAAAGGCCTGGGACCTAGGGATAGAAATCCCTTACCAGGCTAATCAGGATCTTAATAAAGGAAAGTCAAGGACCATGGTTTTCCGAGGAATAACAAACAACCGTTTGAGATTGACATCTCTTTACTATAAAAAATATAACACAAAACTCTGACACCACTCAACAAACCTCAAATAATTACGGGAGTCAAACAAATAAGGCAGTCAACGGTTAATGGAGTCAAACAATTAAAGGAAGCAAACAATTAAAGGAATTAAACAAAGAATGGGAGTCAGCAATTAATGGATTCAAACAATTAAATGGGGTCAACAATTGATAGAATCGAACAATAAAGGGGAGTCAGCAATTAATGGAATCAAACAATCATAGAATCAAACGATGAACAAATATTTCCTACGGCAGTGGCCCTGGGGGGAAGGTTCTGGAACACGGTGATGCACACTCAGGGTAGGGAAGCGTCCATTCACTCCACACTCGAGCGACGTCTTGAAAAGGCAGGAGAACACCGGGGCACAGACGGAATGTGAGGAACTGATGGTCGTGGTAGATGACCAGAGAGTTGGCAGTTGATAGGTGAAGTTCTGGGAACACAGCCCACGAGTCCAGGACCTATGATGAGATCACAGCCAGAATTTGACGGACAACAGGGTAGCTAGATACTGTCTGTATGGCGGCTGGGTTGAATCTGCCGGTGGCGCAGATAGTCGCTGCCGTTCTCACCTCCGTCCAACCACCCCAAGTGACGTCTGCACCAGCAAACGAGCGAATTAGCAGCGGTAACCAGCCGGAGGATCGTTTCCGCCCTTACACAGCTCCCCCAACAAAAATCTACTGTAAGGTAGATTAAAACTTAAGATTAGTACACAAAGCATAATCATCTTACAACAATGCTTAAATACACATTGCACAATAAAGAAGGGTCATAGAAAAGAATAGGTGGTAACTTGATGTCCAAAACGCAAGGCCGTATCAAGGAACTGCACGTGGGATCCATTTCAGTCCAAGTTTAAGTTTGGGCCCAATTCCAGTCGTAGAGGATTCTTCTATCTCGTCAGGTGTTGGCAGCAACTGGCAACCGAGATCAACAGACTCTGGCGTTCGAACTCCACAGGAACTCTTGCAGGGTAGTGCCTCGACTAACTCCAGCTTGGGGACGTCGTCAAGGACACGAGCAATGTTTTGTCCTGCAATTATATTGCTTAAACAAATTAGCTTGATGAAATTTAGGTTTCTTAGAGGAAGGGGGTGAGAACGGTCCAACAAAATCTATGGCTACCCGAGAAGATGGTTCTGCAATGACAGGTAAGGGTTCAAGTGAAACAGGACGGACTCTACCCTTGGCGGACATACGTGGGCACTGATCACAACTCCTACAAAAAACTCTAATATCCGCTCCCATACCTGGCCAGTAAAACTGATCAGCAACCTTCCTATAAGTTTTCCTACGAGAACAGTGACTTACTAGAGGGCTCTTGTGAGCTACAGAGAGAATGTTACTACGACAAACATCAGGGACAACAAGTAAAAACCGACCTACTTTAGCTGGTCGCTTGGATGAAACACAAGACCTGTGTAACACCCCAGTAATAGAAACAAACTTATAAACCGACCCATCTCCCACCGGACACTCCTCCCCGGAAGTCACCTTCTCCCTTACCCGCTTCAGAGTGGCACACGAGTCTTGAAGCTTGGTGAACTCCTTGGGAGTCACAGTCAGTGGCAACAAATTCGGCAGAATCAGGGGATGCGGTCGTTTCACCTTCGCCGTCCGTGGCCCTA